CCGTCCACTCCATGTTTGATCTGAAAAATCATAATTACATCTACCTTCAACAAACTTTTGCTCAAACAGACTTGGGTAAATTATTCAATTAAATTTATGGTTTAGCTTTCATTAAGAAGGAAAAATGAGTTGACAACTACTTACTGCACTGTTTTCTTTGAGATCATTTCCACTGAGGCTTATTTGCAGACACGAACTTTCGAAGCTGTTTAGGAGGAGAAAGAAACCAGTCAATTTTCGCTTTTAAACGAGTTCTACTACCTATTTTCAATTGTCACAAGCTAGGAAAAAATTGTCACTTCATTACAAATTGAAAATGTTCGATAAATTCCTTTGAAATGGCCTTAAAATAAGGGAAATTTACTCACGTTTTAGACAAGACGGCAAACACTTCGTTTTGACGTCTCAGACAACACAGCTAAGGCGGGAAACCTCACGCGACGGCTACCGGAAATGCGCAGGCAAATATTTCCAACTTCCGCTCGCCGTCGTAGACATCCGCCGTCGTCGGATCTTAAGGTCCCTAATAGCGGGGGGAGGAGGAGAACGGGAGGCGGGAGGTGGGACAAGGGTGGGAAGCAGGACAAATTGGGGAAAATTACGCAACAATGCTTCACATTTCGCAATCGATATTGGACCAAACGGAGAAAACCACAGGTAGCCAAGCTACCTGTGGTAAGCTGTTTTGTAAGGTAAGCTGTTTTTATACTGAAATCCTTTCATTTTCGTAGTCAACAGCAACGATAGGTTTTTTTTCCCATACAAATCCTTATGTTTCGAATGTTAAGCAACAATCCCAATGTTCGCCGATGCTCATATTTCGAGCTTGGGCTACCTGTGAGAAAGCAGAGGAAAAAATGGGGGAAGCCGGGAATGTAAAGCATGGAGAGCGGAAGGTTTGGATCCCCCTGTCCCCGCCCAAAAGGGTTTTTTTTGCCGGACAACCAACGAGAATATGAAAATTTTAGCACGATCTATCGAGCTCTTTCCAAATGATTATAGTTACAAAAACGCCAACAAGAGCACGTCAGTACATGCTAATCTAGCGGTAGACCTCTTTTATAATGGCGGCCTATACATTCTTTTAAATGGATGATAATTAGCCTTTCTGACCTCCTTGGCATGTGCCTAATACAAAAATTTCCTAATTTCAAACGAGACCAGAAAGGCTCAGGTATATGATCTTTTCACAAACGTTTTTTAACGAGAATGAAACTGGTAGGAGGCGAAATTTCATTTCAAAAGCGCTTCGTTCTCTATGGATAACGGCTGAACACCAAAATTGTCTAGTTTCAGTAACATTTGTAAACTTGAAGAAGGCTGGTATGGCCAGCCAAAATATTGCTCTAAAAAGGTAATACAAGTTGTTATCAACTTTGCAGAAGTCTTTAGACTTTTCGTTTTTTGTTTCGATTTGCAACTTTAGAAACGAGAAGGAAACTGGAACCGAGACGCGTCCCGCAATTGTTTTTGGGATCGTTACTGGTGACGTACCGGTCAGCTATTGGCCAATTTTTTTCCCCTGTCCCTAGTAACAGTCCCAGAAGTCTTTGCAAAAGTTAACTCGTCCCAGTTTCCTTCCTCGTTTCTTAAGTGGCAATGTAACTGTGATATGGGCATCCCCATCCCCAAAACCCTAGTGATATTGGCATCCCCGCTGACCCTAACCCTAATCGCTAAGGTAAAATGAGAAGGGGATACCCATAGCACTAGGGTTTTGGGAATGGGGATGCCCATATCACTGTGACAACGGAGTGAATGAGCCATTTCCGAGTTCCAAAAGCTCTCACTTTCACGACGAGGCTAAGTGCAAAACCTTTCTTGTGAAAATGAGTTTTATGTGCATGAGAATAAAAACACATTTTCATATCAATGGCTTCCCAGTTAGCCTCACTTTGAAACAGAGCCTTGGGAAACTGGAAAATGGCTTATTCTTCGATAATGCTCTCACAGATTTTCCTCAATCTTCACGAACATTGAGGCAGCTGTTGGAGGATGACGCTCCAGTGAACAAGAAATACCTTTAATACTGTTGTACGTCTTTACACGCGTTGTTATACTGGCGCTAAAAAGCAGGCACACAACTATCACCATACATGTATTTCACATGAAATCCATCGCGCGCATCCTCTTCCCTGCTTTTAAACTCTGTAAATTCTTCAACTTATTTAGAATCTGCTTATCATCTGACAAAGAAATTTTTTCAGCCTG